GTTTCTGACAGCTGTCAATCAGTGTGTGGAACTGCACACGTGGTCTAAAGGAGAACGAGTTACAGATGTAGTCGGTTATGGTTTTACATGTTCATTAAATATCGTTGCGTTGCATCGAAAGCCTCAGTGGTTATTTAAGAATAAACACCACAGCATCTCCATTGGTTAGGATTACTTGATGATTGGATCGCTCCGATTCGGTTTGCTACAAATGACTTGAAAACTCTGCTTGATCGGTGAATCCACGACAGCACGTTCATACTGTCTGACCAATACGTGGTTATGCTTGGATCAATGTCTAGTGCCCTTGCTATCGACATACTAAATCTCAAACCCAACACCGCCCCCATCAACTCCAGACATCCAATATTCATGGCTGTCAGCGGTGCGACCTTTGATTTAGAAGCGACCATTCGTACAGCAACAATCCCGCTTTTGTACTCGCTTCTTACGTGCACCACTGCTCCAAACGCCGCCGTTAAAGCATCAGCAAACGAATGTAAAATTGTCGAAATCAGTTCACCAAAGTTAGGTTGTAGGCATGGCGGAACTTGTACGCACTGTAGGGACTTGAGCTTTTGGAACCATTGTCTTGCCTTTTTTTGCTTATTCCTCTTTCATTGGCTCATCCCATTCTACCCCAGTGGTCCGCATTTCTTGGAGAATGATTTTGGCGCGAACAATGTATGGTGCCAGAAAACCTAAAGGATCGAAGAGTGTTGCGATACCCTTGAGAAAACTACGCTTTGTAAGCTGGAATTCCTTCCCCGGTGGGTGTGCCGTGTACGTAAACATGCCTTCCTCAGCAAGCCAAAGTATCCCAAGCGTCTTTACCGATGGTAGATGGCCCTGGTCTAAGTCTGCCTCAGAGGCCCTGTCATCGACTGGTATTTCCTCCAGCACCTTTGGTGAATTCGATAGCCATTTTCTCGCGTGCATTCCGGCTCTTCCCCACAGCTCCGATAACTGCTTATATAGCTCTATTCCTGTTTGATCATCTGAAGTAGAGTCCATGTTATCGCCCATGTACGTTGACTCCAAAATCGTTTCTGCTGCCATTGAGAATTGTTCTTTATGCTTCTGCGCATGCTCTTGAGTGACAAACTGAGCTTGGAATGGTGACGAATTCACTCCAAAAACTACTCTATTAAACTCATACACGTCCGGCGTCCTGGTCTGATCCAACGATCTCCA